GAGGGGGAGATGGAAAACAGAACTGAAAATGCTTATTGCTCCAGTCCTTTTAAAAGAGAAATACAAACTATTGGGCTTTGAGGACCGATTAAAGCTCCGGTGTTTATTCTCCAGCAGATGAGGATTGTTCTCTGTAGTATATTTCTCAGCGCTTTTGAGTGGCTTAAAAACGAGATAATGGAGCTGGCATAAAAATAGGAGCGTTGTTCCTGAAGAGTTCATTTGCTGCTTCGGCTTTTATTTCTTATCTGATGTCCCACTGTTTGGCTTGTGATAAAATATTTAGCCTCGGCGGGGAGGGATCGCAGCATAAAAAGAATTCGGGCTGCAAAAGAGGAAGGAGCTGGAGTGGAGGGAGAGCTTAAAAAAAAAAAAAGCTTATTTGCATGAAAGCTTTGAGTAAGGAGGCCCCTTAAATTCTTTTTCAGGGGAGTCTTATGCTTAGAAGACCCACTGATATAAGTTGTATTAGTTCCACTAAAATATTTGGGAAATTTCTTGGAAACACTAGTCCTGGCATCTCCTTTTATGGCCCAGAGGTTCTTGCTCTCTCTCATCCACCTGCTTTGCCCACGGGGCTGTGCTCTGGCCTGACAAAATCTCCTCGGCTTGGGCTGCCTCGCTTCTTCACCGAGCCTTCTGCTCTCTCTAAAAATCAAAAATACTGCATATTCTCTTCCAAATCCACTTCAGAACCAGCTGGTTGCCTTATCCTGAACGAATTCAGCTTAAGTTTTATGCCAGGCTCCTCTGTACCTTAATACTTGAATATCTAATTATGCTGTTGGAATGTGACTTCTTGATGGATTTTTTCACAAAAGATTTCAATTTATATTCTTTCTGGTGCCGTCTTCCTGAAGGTATAAAAAGAACTGGAAATGTCTGAAAAACGTCTCCTCTGAAATACCAGGAATGCTGAGTTTGAGCTGGGCTTTGCTGGAGGCCTGGCTGCTGTGTCTGAAAGCGTGTTTATTGGAAATCCTTACTGAAAGAGGCACGATAACCGGAATTCCACGGTGGTTTTTTTTTATCCAAATTTAATTTTTTTGCACGGTGTAAGAGAATTTCAAGACACTTGAGGAACGCAAAGGGACTCCTGATTCCTAAGAGAGTTGTAAACAAGTGAAAACCTCACGGCGTTTGCACTTTTTTTTTTTCCCCCCCCAATTACATGCGAGTTTCAGAAATAAATACAGCACTTGAGGCAGTGAAGTGGTGCTCCCATGGCCCTGCTCCGGCTCGCTGGGTTGTGGGTTCCCCCCTGGGTCTCTAGAAGGTGTGGAGGTGCCCAAAATGTTCCCTTGTGGTCGATGGTTTGTCTCCTGAAGCTCCCTTGGAGGCTGCTGGGTTACTGTGACAGCAGTTAAACGCGCTGGAAAAAGCTTAAGATTTTCTTTTAAGGAATAAGAGATATTCCTTCTTTAAAAAAAAAAAATAATCCTGTTGTATTTCTGAAACCTGCCAGGTTTTTGTTCTTTTTGTTGTTGGTTTTTTTTAAATATTCTCAACCTTTTCTTATTGCCCCCCCCAAAATGAAGCTGACAGACGCTGCTTGGGCTAGCGTCATAGAATTCTTTGTAGCCTTTGAAGTGGAAGAATCTCAAAAGGTGGACAACAAAGGAAAAGATATTTGTATCCTTTTTATTCTTGTTAAGGCATGTGACTGGGAGCCAGGAAAACTAGATTCCATTCGTGGCAGCGCGCAGGCTTCCTGTAGGGATTTGAAACTAGCTGTTGAATCCAACCTTCCCTAAGTTGGCCAGTCTGACCAGCACGATGACAAGTGACCACCTTCACTGGTGGTAAATTCCGTGGCAATTCTGGTGGGTTTTGAGAAGGTGACA